ATTTGTCTAGTGTGTTCAATAAGGAGCAGGGCATGAACTGAATGAGGGGGAGAATTGTAGGTGATGAGGTCAGAAGAGTAATAAAAAGGAAAATGGATCATGTAGGGCTCTCTAGGTCATTGTAAGAACCTTCACTTTTACTATAAATGAGATGAGAAGCCATTGGAAGGATTTTGGAAAGAGAAATAACATGGTCTGACTTGTTTTTAAAGAACACTGCTTTGTTGAGCAAAGGCAGTAGGGGAAAAAAGAGAAGATAAGTTGGAAATCATTACAACAGTACAGATAAGTAATAACAATGGTGTGAAGTGGTCAGTTTCTGGGCATTTTTGAAAGTAGACATAATAGCATTTTCTGACAGACTGACTGTGGGATGTGACAACAAGGTTTTAGTTTAATCACTCAGCGGTCTTTTTGTCATTTGTTGAAATAATAAAGACTGAAGGAGGAGAAAGTGGCAGAGCAAGTGTGAGAAGACAAACTTCTAAATGGAAATATTAGTAATTGGAGATTTTTTTAAGAATTACAGAAAAAAAGACTTGAATTATTGATGTATATATAGACATTTCCATTATGGAAATATGTCTTAAATCACTGGGACTAAATGAGATTGCTAAGGAAGTGAAGATTTATTCCCTATGTGCCTTCAAACTGGCCAGATGAAAGAATTCAGAAGAATATAAAGAATAAAATCAGGAAGAAATGCCCAGTCAAATATGAAGACACTAGTAGAATAATCTAGAAGCAGAGTTAGGTTATATCATGATAAACCAAATCAGAGAATTAGTGAGAAGTCACCATTAGTACTTAGATAAGAACAATCTTGTTTAAGTGGTGGGCTATCAGACTGAATGCAGTGAGTTCAAGAGAAAATGGAAGGAGGAAAAGAAAGTGGTAGTGCAGGGAGGTAAACATTGAAATGTTTGCTGTAAAAGGAGAAGAGGGAGAAATAGATATTGCCAATGGGGATACAGAGTCAAGAAGTTGATATTTTGATGTTTTTAAGATGTCAGGTATTATAGACCATTGGCATGCTTCTAGAAATAACTTAATAAATGGAAATAAATTATGATATAGTAGGTAAGGAATTGCTGAAGTTGTGATCTTGTTGGATGAGTAGAGTGAAATGCCTATGAGGAGGATTGCTCCAACTGGATCTTATGGAGTGTTGTAAGTCACCCATGGTTTCAGAAGGAAAGAGACTTCTTGAGGGCAGGTAGATTGGTTGAAGCTGGTGGAAATTCTCTCCTTATTGTCCCTTTTTCTCCCAGTTAAATAAGTAACACGGTTGTAAGCTGAGATTGATGGTGAGGGAGATAGGATTAAAGATCTGAAAGGAAAGAGGGAAAATAGTTCTCTGAGAGCATGGGGTACTGACTGGATTTTGGGAAGTGGATTTTGATTTCTTGGCATCTCTAAAGAGCATACTTGTTAATAATTATGAACTTCAAATGAGACCAATCACCATGGTTGACTATATTTCTCCAGTTATGTGCTATGTGTGGGTACAGGAGTGAAATAAGCACAGGTATTTAATTGGAGGAAAAGTTTTGATATGTGAATATGATAATTAATGAGAGGAACAGGGAGTTTTAAGGCTAGTGATCAATTTCCCACCTGTGAAAGTTCTACATTTAGTAATCATTCTAATATTTTTAATCAAATAATATTGGTGTTTAAAATGCAACAATGCAAAAATGTATAAGGTAGAATAAACAAATTCACATTAAAATCCACTGCAATTCCATGTCCCAGACATAGCCACAATAAATAGTTTTGTGTCTATCCTTCTGGACATTTTCTATGAATATATAAACAGATAGACTTTTTAAAACTAAATCTTGCTTCACACTATTCATATGGTTCTAGTACTTTTTTCACTCAACAATATATCAAAGGCACACTTGCCTTCAGGTACTTAGAGATCTCATTCCACAACTACATAATATGCTATTGTAAGGCTGAACCACAATTTATTGAAATAATCACTTTTTGATTTAGGTTGTTTCTAGTTGTTGCTCTTATGGATAATGCAAAAATGAACATCCTTATCCACATAATTTTATTGCTCCTTGAATTATTCCTCTAATGCAGATTACTAGAGGATGGATTAGTCAGAGTACGCTCTATATCATAGTTTCTGCTAAATGATAGCTACAAAGAACATAGTAAAATATTCTTCTTCCAAGCTCTCGACACTTTATTTGAAATATGGTAATTCATTTAAGTATATATTTACTAAGTTATAAGAGTTTGAGTGTCACTTTTCATTTCACATTATAAATACACAGAAACATTATATAACAATCATGTAAATACTGATGAGGTCAAACTAATTTTTATATATTTGGCTATGTTTTCACAATTGTTACTATATTTCAATTGAGAAATGGAATTTCTACACAATTTTTAATAATCACCTTGCATTTTCTCCTTACTTTCCCTACTTATAAACATTAGCTAAATATTTTTTTTCTCTCTAACATTTTTTTTTATCTATCTTTTTTGTCTTCCTTCTCTACAAGTACATAAAAACCTTGAAGCAATAAATACATTCATTTTGAAACCCAAAATGACAGCATATTATAGCTACTGGATAATTGTCAAATAAATAATAAACTAATAGGGTCATCTAGTCCTCTCCTATCTTTGTACTTCTATTACATGTAAATATCCATAGAATATATATACATATATATTTATATTCTGAAAATTGATATAAATGAAATCATGCTGTATGTATTCCCTTACAAGTTGAGTTTTGCCCTCATCATTTTATATTTGAGATGTAGTCAAGTAAATACTTTTAGATCTAATTTATTCAAATATGTTTCTTGTATAATGTCCATTCTTATTAGAATTATTTATTTGTGCCTGTTGGTAATCTGTGTATTTTCTTTGGAGATGTGTCTATTCAACTTCTCTGTTCATTTTTTGATTGGGTTGTTACTTTTTGTTGAGTTGTATGAGTTCTTTGTAGATCTTAATATCAGTCATTTGTCAGATGTGTGATGTGCAAATCATTCTTCCATTCAGTTGGATGCATTTTTGGCTTTACTGGTAATTTCTTTCACTGTGCAGAAGCTTTTATAGTTTGGTGTTATCCATTTGTTTATATTTACTTTTGTTTCTTTTGCTATTAGAGACGAGTCCACAAAAACACTTCCGAAGCCAATATTATGGAGTGTTTTGCTGCTTTTTTTCTTCAATGTATTTTAGGTTTTTGGGTCTTATACACATGTCTTTTCTTCATTTTGAGTTCATTTATGTGAACTGTGAGATAATGATCTAGTTTCATTCCTTTGCATGTGGCTGTCCAGTTTTCCTAATCCATTTGTTGATGAGACTTTCCTTTCCCCATTATATACTGCTTTTATTACTAGAGATTTGTTGACTAATTTGAAGTTTGTGACTAGATATTTTTGAAATCTATCTTGTGGGAGCTAGGTAAGAAAAGGTAAAGACATGTTATGAATGATTCAGTTTTCTTAATGACACAGGGTCATTGATGTTTAAAATTACTTTTCAAGTAAGTTGTCATAAATTATAGTTTCTAGGAAATTATTTCTGTTATTGCTGACTTATTTGTACTTGCTTTGTAATCCCTGTTTTTTTATTTACAATTTTTTTTCATGCCCATTTTACTTCTTAACCATTTTCACTAGACATCTTGTGTATTGATTAGTGGCATTATACAGGTTTTGATATGTTGGGATCATGACTGAGTTCTGAATATTTTTACTTACATTTTTAGATTCACTTTTACTGATTAATTTTTTAGCGTATTCTGTAAATTCCCAAAAACATGCTTATTATTATTTTCTTTGAGTTCGTAATCATTCTGTGGTCTGATAACATCATCTATTTGATAATTCTTCACTACTTGTTGCAATTTATCGTAAGGGGTGAATTTTTGTTTTAGTATGTTTAATTGATAAGGGACCAGGAAAATGAATAACTATAAGAAAGTGAAAATCAAAATCAACAAAAAACTATGAACCAGAGACACTTTTTGGGGGTGGGGGGGAGGGGAGGGATTGGGGTCAGAATGGGGGGGTTGCAATTGTATGGGGAATATAAAAATAAAATTTATTATAAAAAAAAGAGGCATTGGAACAATTGATTATTCACATGGAAAAATAAATTAGATCGCTACATTAAACCATAAAAAAAATAATAAAATAAAATTAATTCAGAAAGGAAGGGTACAATTACCAAAAGTATATTTTGTTCTTAGGTTACTTTCAACTTCTTAGATTACTTTTGTCCAGCTTTTTAATTCTACTTTTTATAACCTATGCATGTTGATATAATTATTCTTGTCTAATGTAGCTACCTCTTGACACATTTTTAACAAAGTTCTTAGCAATTTGTATGATTAACATTGTTTCTCCTATCCAATTCTATTATTCAGAGAGAGGCAATCACAAGCCTAAGAACATCAGTTGTTTACCAACTGATTTTAAAATTATTTCACTATTTTTATGACTGATCTGGTGAATACTAGATGAATAACATGCCAGGGGCCAGAAACATTCTTAGATTTATGTATGTTATGATTCAAGATCCAAAATGTTTTTTTCTTGTCTTTTAATAATTGAGTATTCAACTTGAGTATTCAAGTTTAAATCTAAGTTAGGATCCTTTGCAAAAAAGCAGCCTCTCTATGGCTTAAACAAATGTTTGTAATACTGTGTTATCTTCAAATTTTGAGATGAATATTTTTAACTAGTGTGTCTTAAATTTTTTTGTGTCGGGCTGAGTTTTTAAAGGATTTTTTAGTGGTGTTATTAGTTTGGTTAGTTTTCTTTCCTCTGGTGTCCCTGCATTATAATCTGTTCCTTCAGAATGGTTTTACAAATATTTCTCCTGTTATTTCCACATGGATAATCTGCTGTTTTAGTTAGGGTTCTCTAGAGAAACAGAACTAGTAAAATGTAAAACTATATATATATATATTGAAAAAAAAGTAAATTTTATCTATTGATATCTACCTGTATATTTTTATAGAGAGTTCTCTTTCAAGGAATTAGTTCATAAGATAATGGAGACTGATAAGTAAGAAATTCCAGCAACTGCAGACTGGTGATACAAAGAAGTGTTGCACTTCATGTATTAAGGAAGTTTGCTAGCAGATTTCCTTGAAAAAAAAAAAAAAACACAATTATTTTCTTAAGACCTCAACAGATTGGACCAAGCCCCCTCACATAAGCAAAGCAAAACTCAGAGCAGAATAGAAAAGGAAAAGTCAAAAACATCCTCACAACAATTGAACTACTAAGTGTCTGTTACTTCTTTTTTTTTAGTCATTAACTACATTTTCAAAATTTAGTTTTATGAAATAGATTTATAGGATATGCTCCTAGTGGAAATATTTTTATAATATTAAGAACAAGAAGAAATACAAATACTTTGTAAAGAGATCTATGTAGGACAGATACTGCCTTAAACAAGCCAAAACCCTTTATTGCTTTAAAACTCAAAATCAAAGTCAAATTCAGCATTTCAGTAAGATGTATGAACATCTAATAATATATGTAATAGAAATTGTAATGTTGGAGTATTAAAACAGTATTATTTTTAGTTTATAGAAATGAGTACACTCATTTTAAACAATGATGAATTCATGTTCTTATGTTGGTGATCCTGTTGGGGTTGATGTTTCTAATGCCTGTGTACCTTGACAATATCTTCCATGCTTTTAGTAATACTTTAAATAAGACTTCTGCAACTTTCAAATAGCAGACCTGATTCTGCCATTTTGAATTTATGCTTTTTCTCACCCATTTATCCACATCATGACTAATATTACTGGTGCTGTCAGAATTATCATGCAATAATATAAAAATATCACATTATTTCCCATACTTGTAAATGTCATTTCAGCAATCAAACTGTCCATATATTTTATGGAAACACCTTGTTTCTTTCTACACCGCTGCTTCTTAGTAACAAGAGATGAGACCATCTGAGGACTTTTAGAGCAATTTAGCACAAAGTATGGCTATGAATATTAAAGTTGTTTTTAGACTGATTCTTTAAAAATGTAATAAAGTCTTATGGATAAAAATTAGGTAAGATATTTACTAGCCGATTTTGAATCTTTCTGCATTACTATCATGGATGATCTATATAAACAGCTTGTTCTCACTGTTTCTCAGTTGACTATAGAGTACAACTGATGCACAATTCATGATGACCCAATATTAACTAAAATGTTGTTTCTCAGTGAGATTTTCTTTGGCTAGGGACATCTTCCATAACCATCCTATGTAATGGTATGGTCACTTATTAATTCCTCCACTGCTTTTTCTCCTCAATCTTAACAAATAACATTTTCTGCATGTGGTTCAATAGCCATGTTCATTGTCTATTTCTTTCCAATACAAAGTAAGCTTCATGAAGGCAAAAATATCTTCCTCTTGGTTTTTAATATTAATTTACCTTTAAGTATTTAGTCAATTGTAGTCATTAACATATACTTTTAAAATAATTAGAAAGGAAGATATAGCTAGAAAATTTAAGAAGGGACACTATAGGTAAGAAAATGCTAGTTTTTATATTTACTTATTGTAAAATTCACTGATTTTGATGTAGAGTTTTATGAATTTTGATTTTAAGACAGCGTAACAAAGATAGAACAGTTTCACAGACCCAAAAACATTACCTCATGTTGTGACTCTATAGCTGATAACTCTCTTCACTCATAATCTTAACAATCACAGATTCCGTCTACATTCTTATTGTTAAGCCTATTTTGAAATGGCATGAAAATTGAATCCTATGGTTCGTAGGCTAATATATTTTACTTTGGGTACATTTGTGGTTTATCTATGTTTTTACATATATCAGAAATGCATTCTTATTATTAATGGTTTTTCGGTGTTTCTTCATAGAGATATACTGTAGTTTCCTTTTTTTTTTTTTCACTAGTTGAAGTAAAACTACATTGTATCCTTCTCTCTGCAACTGAACATGAAAAAAAAGGTAACTCATTAATTTCTCAATCTTTCTACTCTTTATATTAGAAAATTTCTACTATTCTTCTGTCAATTTCACTGATTCTTCTGTCACCTTTATTCTGCTATTGAGACCAACTAGTATTTTAAAATATTTGTCAGATCTTGTCATTTTGAATATTATTCTGGTCATTTTGAATATTATTTGAGGGAATTGTGTGTCCCAATCAAATCCTTTAGAAAATCCCATTCACTATATCGTTGTTATTTTGAAAGGCAGTTAACATGGTTAGGTTCAGAAAACACATTCTAATTAACCTACTGTTGGTAGTAACTCCAATATGTTATTACAATGCCACCTACAAAGTCTGCCATGTATTCGTATCTGAAGAGTTCATCTGGGACTAAAATATTTGAGCGGTGATGTATATCAAAGTTAAATGTCAAATGCTCAAATCCTTTGCTCTATCTTATTGAATGTTGACCTTGGGAATGTTTTGGTTCATGTACAGGATTACAGAATCTGCTTCTAGTTCTTGATTCAATATTTCCTTCACAATGCTTAGTTCCCACTGGTTTCATTCCCCAACTCTTTATTGGAGAAAATAGTTTGTTGTAGAAATTTAGCTCAGATGCCATTACATAATTCCACACCACTGGGTTCATCTTTGAGGCGAGATGTTGAATAATAAGAAAATCAAATAATCAGGTAATCATGATAATCAGACAACAGGGGTTCCCTTGATTAGAAATAAGCATTTTCTACTTTTAGGTATCTTACGAGTTCATGCTATTGTCAATACCATAGCAGCCCCATGACTGGGGCTGTCCTGAGAGCAGGGGTGAGAGAAGAAAATAGGAAATAAAAAAAAGACACAAACACCAAAAAAAAAAAAAAAAAAAAAAACTGATTTTTTTTTTTTTCCCTTACCCCTAAAATCTCGTATTCCTTTCCCTGATCTTACAGTCAGACAAGAAGGCTTTCTTTGCAGGCTATGTTCTCTGATACTATGCAGGTCTGTATTTCAGGCCAGACTCAGGTGAAAGTCAGGTAAGAATAAAAAAATAAAATAAAAATAAGTCATCCTTCATGTTCCACTTTTCACCCAATCTGCCTACTACTACCTGTAGGAGCCTGTGCAGAATTGCTTTTTGTATTCTGTCCAGACTTCTGTTGTTACAGTCATATAGAGGAGATAGGTTATAGTACTCTGGTTCAACTTAACCAGCCCCAGAAGTGATAAAATGCAGATTTAACTCTGTTGATACCTGGGTTTTTAGTTAATAACCTAAGTGGAATCTAATCACATAAATTTTAGTTATCAATGATGGAATTTTTTACTCTTTTATTATGTACTAGCTTTGTACTACTATATACTAGTAGCTATATACTACAATATATTTAAGAATATTAGCTATAAGACAAATGTGAATTTATAATAATGTCCCAACATAAGATATCATGAAGTGAAAGATGTCCAGAGACTTCCTTAATTTAACATGGTTCAAGAGAGAGAACAAAATTCAAACTTAGATCTACTTAAAAACCTAGGCTCGTACATTTTGAAACAATAATTTTCAGATTTAGAATTTTGCATATATTCCATGATTCTGTCATGATAGCATAAGAATGCATAATAATTTTAGAGAGGAACTGAGGAAGGAAGAAATATCAGGATAGGCATTTAATTAGGCATTCATTCACAAATAATTTCTAAGCAGATCTTTAGAAGCCATGTTAATGGCGGGCATTTTATAAACCATGGTTCTGTCCTCATGTAGCTCATATTTTAATAGAAAATGTGAATTTGTAAATCACTACAAAGTCACTAGATTTTGCGATCAGTGGTGTGACAAAATAAAATTAAGAAGGAAAAGAAAATGACAAAAGTTCTTTTCTCTAAGATAGAAGAAAAAGCTAGAGAGACTCTAATTAAGATCTAGGACATAAGAATAAAAACCCAGTGATGGGAGGGCCACGCCACATAGGACCAGCAGGTGCAGCAGTGTGACAGGAGGAAGTGAAGGGCCAACATTACTTGTCTCATGATAGAAAAAAATGGCCACTATTGGAATTTTGATTGTCAATATATTATCAGTGTTAGATCCATAAATGTATATTTCATGTTAAGTTTTTATCAAGTAAGTGATATCTATAGCTGATCAGCATGAATATCTCACTGCATCTTGGTATTGGAGTGTGCCAGGCGAACAGTGCAGTCAAGCACTGGAACATGCTTTACTAAAACAGAGAAGAGACAGAACAAGATCAGCTTCTACAGTGACCTTCAGACCTATACAGCCTGATGGTGTCTTTTGGCAGCTGACATAGGTAATAAGTCTGCATTCATTTTCTTATGCAGATTAGGATTACTCAGTACCCTTCTCAAAAGGGACATAACAGTTAGGGAGGCTAAGTGCACACACACACACCCACACCCCCACCCCCCCCAAGCAGAACACTGGAGAATTCATTAAGTCTGCAAGATACTGACACACAAGTTGATAAGCTGGTACAGTGCTACAGGCTGGGAGGTCTCTGGTAAGGAAGTGTTGCAGACCCCTGGCTTGTTCTAACGAGGTCAACAGCAGGTAAAAAATAGTTTGCTTAAGGTTAAACTATTTCATAGTCTTTTAATGCCAAAATGACTTAATCATAATTTACTAAAACCCATTTTTTGAATTAAATTAGTTCAGAATAATCAAAACTTTATATACTTGCTTGACAATGGGAATCTCAAACATGAAAATCAGTCTCCTGACACCCAACCCAGAGCTTTCTCTATTGTATATATATATTTTTTAATTTTTTGGCCATTTAAATCTTCCAAACAGTAAAATAAGAAATGACCACCTAAGGATTTTCATCTTATATTTAGAGTTTGAATAACTCATATGGAATATGACTAGTTTCAGTTTTTATTTGAAGGCTCTGAGGAGTTATCAAGGCTATTGCTTGTATATAAGGCCAATGCTTATCCCACAATCTTGTAACAATGAAAAAACTGGTTAGAGGATTTAACTAGCTATTTCAAATGGAATTATTAGATAACTCATCAGAATAAAATGCTTGGTTTTTAATATAAAGTTTATATTTTTTATTAACCTCTAATTTTGAACATACTTAGCTCTCCTCTTTTTTGGTATGTAGCTGACTATATATTTACTTCCCTTAAAAATCCTTGGTCATTTCCCTCAAGGGGATAGAATCAGTGGACTGAATAGGATTAGCATCAAAAGTCACCACTGCTTTCCCAAACAGAGTTTAAAAATAGGATCATTGAATAATAAGGGATTTAAGTCTCAACCAGGCAGGGTGCAGGAAGAAATTATTTGGATTTAGACCACTAGAGATTAGAGTGTGATTAGAGACTACCATGTCCTTTATATCAGATTAAGGAACTTGAAAGAGAAAACTTGCTTCAAAAAAAATGTAAGGTCACAAAATTTTCCACCTGCTTCCCTAAATCAATCAAAAAATCACTTGTTCCCTATACATTTCTGAGTTTGAGAGCAGGGAGTGAAGCAGACACAAAGAGGTGAAGGTCTGGAAGTATAACAGTATAAGGTTTAATGAAAATTACCTTTGGGAAATAGTCAATATACGAATCAAGGAACCAAGACAGATAACCGATAATAATAACTTTTATATAGATCTTTTATCTTAAGGAATCCCAAAACAATTTCAAGGAAGAAAAAGATAATGTATCATATTCAGCTAAAATCCATCCATCCCTAGAGTGAGACATTTATATATAATATAGAATTCTTGGCAGGGACAAATAAAAAGCTTTTCTTCAATATAAGGTTAGTTTACATTGCTTGATTAAAACTTAGATAAAAGAAACAATTCCTCTTTGGCTTTGCTAAGCTATTTTTGAGAGGGAAATGTGTATAGAAAAGCATTTTAAAACATTTAAAAATGTTTCTCAATCAAACTGAAGCAGATGTCTAATGATTTTATTGACAGTATTAAAAATGACAGATGAAGCAAAATCAGGTAGCATGTATCAGCAAGTATGAAGAACTCATTTTAAGTTGCAAAATATTTTACTTAGATGGATTAAATTTTTAAAATTGTTGAAACTTAGTTCAATCCTTATTTCCTTTATGAATATAGTCAAAAGACCCTATTAAAAATGTATTTGAAAAAAACTAGAACATGCAGAATTCTTGTATTTTCAAAACTTACGTTACAATGACATTTGAACACTTCTTTTATCTGAAATTCCACCACCCTGAAATCTATAGAAAATTTCAAAGGCAGTAAGAATATGAACCTTTTACCTCTGGTTAAAAATTCTGATGTGCCTATTTGTTCATTTTTTTCCTATCTTTTTATTATAGACCTATAGATTTAATATTAGATTACATCTGAAGTAGGGAATGATTTAGAATGTTATGCACATCAACTTTCATATAAAGGCAAGAACTAGTAATACAACTTTCCTTCCTATGGTGGTAATTATTCCATGTTTTTTACTATCCATAATTTATGGTTTAAGATAGGACTGTGAAATCATTAATGGATATATTGGTAAGAATTTAAACTGTAGTGAAGTAATTAATATTAATCTGAAATTGAACTGGAGAGAGTCTGTTTTGTAAGGTTAATTTAACCATATATCATGGTGAATGTATAATTTTAAAAATTGATTGGTCCTTTGCCTAGATTACCTATTTTTAAATAGCTAATCCCATATGGGTAGCTGAGAATTGCTTGTGTATGTTTAATTTGTGTGTGTTATTTAGAGCTATTATAGCAATCATGTATATTATATATATAATATATATACTTTAAAAAAAACACTTTATGATTGATACACCAAAAAAGCTGTACATAGTTAACACAACTTGATGAGTTTGGAGATAAATATCCATTAAACCATCACAACAAACATCCATCAGCTCCAAATAATTTTACTCCTCCCTTCATTATATTTTCCTCAATTTCTATCTTGAATCATGATATTGTTTACCAAGATCAATATTATAGTTTAGAAGTTGTGATATAATTTCAGTATTCTATTAGAAATTCAGCAAATCTAGGTATGAGTCACTACTTCATAATGTTCATCACTCAGAGTACTGCTTTACTCAGACAAAAAATTGTCATAATGATCTGTTTAAGTGTCCAAATTACACAGTGACATGAAAACCAAACATTAGTTTGAAAATATTTTTCATCACTTCTCTGTTTCATTGGAAATTTCTCCTATACAGTGTATGCTTTCTCTTCTCAGGTGTAGTTCTCATAGAATTCCCACCACAAATTCACCTGTGCACCATCACCATAGGTCCCTTGTGCTCTTCCCTCCCCTTGCAAAATGTCTGATTTATAGTTGCCTATTGATTTTGTTTTTTAACTTAAAATTTTTTTCTTGATCTCTGATTTGGCTCCCCTACATTCCTCCATAGTGGCTAGACCAGTTTGCATTCCCACCAGAAATGTAGGAGAGTTTTTCTCCACATTTCTTCACCAACATTTGTTGTTTCCTGTTTGGTGGTATCTCATTGTGGCTTTGATTTGCATTTCCTTGATTACAAGTGATGTTGAAAATTTTTCATGTACCTGTTTATTTCCTCTTTAGAGACGGTTGCATCACCTCTTAGTGATCAATCCTTTATCAGTTGTATTGTGTGCAAAACTTTTCTCCAATCAGTAGGGTGTGTTTGCTTTGGTAATGTCTCTTTTGCTGTACAGAAGCTTTTTAGCTTGATGTAATCCCAGCTGCTCATCTTTTTGGGGACATGTCTTTAAAGATGTTATAGAGATGTACAATGGAGTTGCCTATATTTTCTTGTATATATTTTACAGTTTCAGGTCCTACGTTCAATTCTTGTATCCATTTTGAGTTGGTTTTTCTGTATGATGTAAGGTAGTGGTTTAGCTTCATTCTTTTGCATTTAGCAGGCCAGTTTTCCCAGCACCATTTATTTAACAAACTGTCCTTGTTCCATTGCACATTCTTTGCTCCTTTGTCAAAGATGAGGTGTCCATAAATACATATGTTTATTTCTGGGTTTTCTATTTTATTCCATTGGTCTATGTGTTATTGGAAAAGAATTTAATAAAAAGAAAAAAATAGTGGTTAGGACAGTGTCAAGACCGGTGAAAGATCCAAATAGCTGCTAGCAAATACTATTCCTATTATTAAAAAAAAGTTTTTCCCCCCATTTTCAAATTAGGAATAATAATTAGCTCATTGAATAACTTTTTGAGCAAAATAATCAATGCATGTATTATAATTCTCATCATTATTGAACTGTAGTTTTTACTTTGCATAAAAGGAAACATTTTGCAGGAATTACTTTGAGTGAAACTTAAGGATGTGCATGGTAAGGAATGGATATGGAGGATGGGCCTGAGAGTTTGTATGGAACACAGGAAATTACAAGTAATAAAAATATTAAATTAACACTCAAAACTAATAAGACAATGATGGTAAGCAACTTGGATTTTTCCATGTTTTAAAGTTTCTTTTGGGGGCGTTGACTGTGAAGTTTTACATTGGTGTTGAGAAAATAAAATTCTCAAATGTTTTGGGGATTGATCAGGGGGAAAAAAAAAGTCACCATGATGACTTTAAGACTTTCAAAGATTAGAGTGAAAGAGACACGTTCAAACACAAAAGCAAGCTTTGGTTCTGTCTGTAAAGAACCTTACATCGTTTTCAAAATATTTCATTTGTGTTTCTTTATCAATTAGATTTTATATTTTTAGTGAGGAAAAAGGAATTCAAAGTACAGCTTTTTGTAGGTTTGAATTTATTAAATTATATAGATCTTATTTAATTCCAAATACACATATATCTTATTAGAAAATGAGAGAGCATGTCTTATTTGAATACATGCTAGACATATATTCAAAAAGAAATTATATGAAAAACTTTCACCTATTTGGGATATTTTACTATTCTCTCTAAATTCTGCGGCTGGTTCTTTTGATTAATATTGAGAGGCTGAGGAAATGACTTCCCTAGAAATCTTGACTAGGCTAGAAATCCATCTGTCTTACATGACTTAGTTGTAGTCCTGCCTGGAGGCAAAGGATAGATAACCTGAAATAGAATAAGAGACCCAAAGGAGAGGATTAAGTCACTAGATTAGTGGTGACCATATGGTCTCTAGAAGGTTCAATGAAATTGCTCATTTCCATGGGAAAAGATGTTTTTCGCAGTGTTCTTGAATTGTAGTAAGAGAAAAATGCCACCAATTTCCTTTAAAATGCAAGCAGTGTTTCAAGGAGAATCTGAAACATTCTAAATTATTACTAAGAAGATTATTTCCTCTCTCAGCCCCCCTCTGCTTGCTTCTCTACCCTCCTTTCCCTTTCTTTCCTCCTCTCACATATTCTATGACTCCTTTTCTTAAAGCCTTTTTCCCTTCATCCCATGCTCTTCCCTAATCCTTTTTTCCCAAATGTATGGCAGTCAAAGAATATCCTAAGTGGAAATAAAACTTTCTTGAATTCAAGGCGTATTATTTTACTGACACGATTTTACTGTTAGTAACAAAAGGTTTTAAGCATGAAACTGATTAATATAATTTTGTAAATGTCATTCCATACTACTGTAAAATACGTCCTTTACATTGGAAAATATTTTTTAAAGTCTTTGTGTTTATTTCTTTACTGTAACCTGTAATGCATTTTAAGCAAGGGAAAAGAAAACTATTTTAAAGATGAGATCAACTCAAAAGTTAGCAATTCATTTTAAACTGGAAAAAGTCAAAGCCAAAGGGATTATTTTTTTTCCTTTGTATTAATTAGCACTTAAGTGAAGTTATTCTATTAAGGTGTAATATACATAGTCAATAAGAGAAAAAATGTATTATAGTTGTGTTTATATATTTCTATTAAGGCAAATTTGTGACTTTTAGCATCAGTCGTGAGAATTCAATATTACCTAATTGCTCTTCACATGACCTGCCTTTCCCTTTCCTTACTCACTTTCCGGAATGTGCATCTCCATCTATCTCTTTTATTGTCATCTCTCTTAGTGTATAATCCTTTCCTTGAGACTTCCCTACAAACTCTGTTGACTATGATAGAGCCCTTTCTTCTCAACTCAAGTATTTTATTGTGGCGTTTCCTTTCTGATGTCTTAAGATTACATGTACTCATATTCCATTTATAGATTTCAAACACCCAAAAGACAGGATAGTTTTATATCCATAGCTGTGGCCGAGAGTAGGATTTTTAGTGTCATGTTGAGAGGTGTTTAATGAGAATGTTGGATGAGGGGATGAAATCTTATTCCTGATCTGGAACATGGAAGTTTTACTACTTCTTATAAACAGTCTTAAAGGGTACTTTCAGATCTTCCTTCTCAGTCCCCTATCTGAAATGAGGTATAGAATATTTTAATCATACATGCTAGTGCTAACTTAAAAATAATCAGACTACAGTATAATCATGAAAGTGATAGACTCACGATCCAAGGATAGTCCCAAGGTGTATCCCACCAGCGTCAGTGCATAGGTGGGATTTAAGGATCAAGTAGAAGAGTGATCAAGCCCAACTTAGGTCATTTGTTTGACCTCGGTTAGTGTCTCCACTAAGAAAGTTGGATTGTGGAACATGGCGGCGAAGAGACGCTGCGAGTAAGATCTCCCATTAAAAAAAAGTTAACAGGGAGGAAAAGCGGCAGGTCCCAGTGAGAAGTGGGACACGGAAGATAAACGGGTGACTCCAGCAAACTACCCGAAGAAGAAAGTGGCCATAAAAGAGGACTAGAAGGGAGGGAAGCGCAGAACCCTGCTCCCCTCCCCCGCTAACAGAGTCGGCACTCTCCAACCAACCGGCAGAGAGGAGGAAAACAACAAACCAAAACGGCCAACAAGAACAAACTACGCAGCAAGCGGGACTGTGAGTGGAAAGGAACTATTGCAGCCACCACACCCCGTGAACGGGAGCTGAGGCGAACCCTGCAGGATTCGCCGCAGCGGTGAGCGAACGGCTCCGGGCGCCATTAGAGAAGAACAAAGACCCTGGGAGACGCGCACACAGCCCGGGCTGCCGGTAAGCTTGTGCGGGAAAGCGGTGCGCTTGGCACGCTTGAAAAGCAAATGCAGAACTGGATCGCGGCTGCCCAGGTCCCCGCGCCTGCGACCTAGGCTTGCGGGGAGACGACCTAGGCTTGCGGGGAGACGCACGGAGGTCCTCACTGAGGTGAAGGTCCCTCCCTGAGTAAGCAGGAACCAGGCGCCCAGGCACCGGAGTGGTGCAAAAGGCACCATTCCCGCGCCACTGAACTGGGCTACAGCCCGCGTCCTGGAAATGAGGGCTTTGGAACTGAGACCCAGGGCACGAAATTAGGGGCGTGGGTTCTCCACTACGGTGGGGCACAAGGCAGACACAGCACCCCAAAGCTGTTGAGGTGTACCCTACCATTCCCGCTCTGTTCCCTGTCCCACGGGGTGGGGGGAGGCGAAAAACAGCCCCCCAAGGACAATAGGAGAGATCTCTGGCGCCACCTAGCGACCAGGAAAAAAAAAGTCACTAACACCCCATAGAACAGGAAATTTCTTAAGACTGCTTGAAAAGGGCAGAAGGCTTCTGCAGGACCCAGTGGCCAGCCGGGAAGTTAGCCCACCCCACGCCAGGCCCCTTCCGACCAGCAGTCTGAGCCCACAGAGGGAGCAGGCACCCACGTCCAGGGCAGACCAGGGGCGCAGAAGAGTGTGCCTGAAACCGGAGGCGCAGGGACTGCATCTCGCTTCGCCATTTTAGAACAGGGACATTTCTTCAGTAAAAACTGCCTAAAACCAGCAGAAAACTCCCCCAGAAGACAGAGATGGCTCCTGGAAGAGCCAGAGGGGAGCGGAGAAGTTCACCCAAGATGCCAGTCAGTCCGAGCAACACAGTGTCCCAACGCATACGACAAATTAGAAAACAGACAGTAGGGAGTAGAAGAACCACACGCAACCTAACAACTCCTCAGGAAAGAAGCACACCACAAAAAGAAAACCACTCCCCAGATTGCAACGACAGCAACTTGGAAGAACTTCTGAGCCTTCCAGAAAGAGAATTTAAAATTGCCATGATTAAAAAAGTGATAGATCAGAAGAAGGAAATTGAGTCCCTAAAGAGGGAAGTAAAAGAAATGCAGGAGATCAAAGAATTAATGGAGGAACTAAAGAACTCTGGGAAAAGCAATGAAAGCAGAATAGATGAAATGGAAGAACGAATAAGTACTCTTGAAGACACAGAAATAAAAAGAACCAAAACAGAAAAGGAAAGAGAAGTACGAAGGAAAAAGAATGAAGAAAGATTTCGGGAACTATCTGACTCCATGGGGAAAGGAAATATAAGAGTTATAGGAATTCCAGAAGGAGAGGAGAGAGATGTAGGAACAGAGAAAATATTGCAGGAGATAATTGAAGAGAACTTCCCAAATGCGAAGAAGGAGCTGAAAATTGATATACAAGAAGCAAGAAGAACACCAAACTTTCACGACGAAAGGAAAAACACAGCAAGACACATAATAGTAAAGCTCCCAAGAATCCAGGACAAGGAAAAAATAATGAAGCTGACAAGAGGGAAGAAACAGATAACATTCAAAGGAAAACCAATCAGGCTGACATCAGACTTCTCTGAAGAAACACTACGGGCAAGGAGAGAGTGGAGGGACATAGTCAACAGACTCCAAGAAAACAGATGCCAACCAAGAATACTCTATCCCGCAAAGCTCTCTTTCCTCCATGAAGAAAGAATATGGACCTTCCCAGACAAAGAGAAACTCTGGAATTTCATTACGACTAAACCCCCACTCCAAAAAATACTACAAGGAATCCTAAAGCCAGAACCTCAGAGGGACGAATAACAACGAAAGAAGACCAAAAAAAAAAAAAAAGTTATTAAAAGAATAAATAAATAAAATCAAAGGAAAGACAAACATAATGGCAAATACAGATGCTAACATATCAATATTAACTCTAAATGTAAATGGACTAAACTCTTCAATAAAAAGACACAGAGTTGCAGCCTGGATTAAGAAACAAAACCCAACCTTTTGCTGTCTCCACGAAACACATAGCTACAAA